CAATTTACGGAAATTGTGTGCAAATTGTTTGTTTTGCTGGCTGCACTTTGGGAGAATAACCACACAGTACGCCCACGTGCCCACTATGTTTTGCCAAATCGGTGTCTAAGCATTAAATTGCTTTTACATCCTGCGGCAAAGTCAAGGATCAACATAATGACATTCACTGACTGCACAATCACTAAATAAACAAGAGAAGAAGGTGGAGATTGTGAATGAGTGTGTGTGTGTGTGCATGAGAGTGAGAGTGTAATCTTTTAATTGTTAAATAAGCTTTTATAGTGAAACTCATTGTCATCCACTTGTCATGGAAAATATGAGGCAGAAGGGTTTTATTGTTTTGATACCTTGTTAAACATATGAAAAAACATCTAAATCAAAATAAAGAAGTTAGAATCATTTATAAAAGAAATTGAATATCTGTAGGCTCAAACAGTGACCTACTAGAATGTCGATCATGAAATTTCCTAATAAAATACAGATAAGACTTTTCTTGAACTAATCTATTGATCTAAGAATATTCCTGACTTTTTCCCTAGTTTGAAGGTCTTTATATTGGCCTACTTTTGTCAGAACATTCTTCATGAAGACTTTCATAGTTAGTAAATTATTTCTTCGCCCTGAATATATAGGATTCCCTCGTGAAGCCTCTTAGTATGGTATGATAGGTCTTGTTCATAAACATATATTCTAAGGAAAATTACCTATCAGCCTTTCCATAAAAACAGTTTTTTATAGATAAAAGCTCTCTTTAATATGGAGGTATTTGCTGCTCTCTACTGGTATACATTAAAAATAATATATTTCCGACTATATGATACCATTCACCTCTTTTGGTATATTCTACATATGTCTCCTAACAATGTTCTTTCGAAGGAACATTGACATGAAATTGAAGGAACTTATATATCTGATCTTCATCTATATGTGAACAGACTAACATCAATTCATACACTTGCCATTCTGCAATCTATGCTGAATTTCATATCATTCAGACAGTTTTAGAGTCGTTTGCGTACAATGGGGCAAATTTATGGAAATCGATTTATAGCAAATTTGATATATATGATATATATTCGGTATGCCGCACTGTTCAAAATTTATTCTCAATCAGAGACCCGTTCGAAATACATATGGAAGTTATGTCTTCATATGCATCAATTTCAAACAAAGCCAGTAATGAAAATTGTAAAGTCGGACCGGGTCGACTGTATGATACCCTACACCACTTTGGGTATATTCTACATAGTCTCCTAACAGGCGTCATTTTTTTCGAAAGAACATTGACATGAAATTGAACTTGAATGGGATGAAAATATATATGGGAGCTATATCTAAATCTTAACCTATTTTCACGAAACTTAGCACACATCATTCTAGACTTAATTCAGTGCGCTATACCAAATTTCGTGCAAATCGAAAGATATGTAGGGATCTATGGTCACTATTTATATTAAAGGGGACGAAAATATATATGGGAGCTATATCTAAATCTAAACCGATTTCCACGAAACTTACCACGCATCATTCTAGACTTAATTTAGTACTCTACGCCAAATTTCGTGCAAATCGAAAGATATTTAGGGACTCTGACGCACCATTTACCTTAAATCGGGCGATTTTCACGAAACTTAACACACTTTATTCCAGATTTAATTCAATACGCTGTGCCAAAATTTCGTGCATATCGAGCACTTTCAAGCACTTTCAAAATTCTGAAATTAAGGTAACAAAATTGTTTTCTTATTTTCCTCCTATTCTTATACCATTTGACTTTTCCCAATGTACATAAAATATAACTCATATTTCTTCGACATTGCCATGTTTAATTAAGCCACGTTTTCGGTTACTCCACATCGCTACAAAATACCTATATAAGTCTACACCAATAACAACAACTATGGGAAAAAGCAATTAAGATGTTTTCCCTATTAAATTGGAAAATGTAAACCTTCTTTCGTGCCACACAGCCAGCACATATGAATGGAGGCATGCTATTTCAATAAGAGTAGTTGCCACCCAAATACAAAATGCAACAGCACGATATTCCGATAAATTCCGCATTTCGCAAACAAACAAACGGGCGAACGAATAAAAAAATGAAAAAGGGGGTTGTCCCCACTCACAAGACAAGACTTGGACTCATTACAAAATAATTTACTAGCACACGAAGAGTTTCGCGTATGTGTGAGTTTATTATACAGAGACTATTTACAAGACTCACACACATGTAATATATTGCCTCTTAAGCGTGTAACCACTGGCAAACGCAATAAAAACACATTCTCATTACCTCCCGGCCATAATTTTAATTAATATTTTACACTGCCCGTTTTTTGCACCGAACGACAGTTGAAGCCAGCCCAATCCAAAAACACAGAAACGCTCACTTTGCTACACTCCAAGTTTGACTATCACTCATTCGCCCATTTTTTGGTTTGGCCACCTAAAAGCTATGCTGCCAAAATCTTCGTGAGTTAGTGGCAAACTGACTAGCTGAGTGAGTGAGTGAGTGAGTGAGTGAGTGAGTGACTGAGCGAGTAGTTAAACTGTTTTCTTTGATTTCAGTACGTTTAAGGAGGTTTACGGCGGCGCGTATTTGGATCTCTCCGACAACTGATCGGGGCAGCTGGGTAAGGTTTTTGGTGTTCAGTTCAATTGAAATGGAAATTGTAGTGGAAACATTTTTATGGCCTGTGTGGCAAACAATTTTGGCGCCGAATAAGATGTACTCACTTTTGTCGTAACAACTCGCCAGCCAGCCAGTCAGCCAACCAACCACCATTCACCATTGTACGTACATACACCTGATGTAACTACATGGATCTCACAGCCCAGTTAGAGCAAGCTCACCATGTATTATGTCGCTACAACTTAAGCTATGCACTTGGCAATTATGTCGAGCAAACGTCAGGCAAACGATAAACTTTGTGTCACTTTAATGTTGCACAAAAGTGATTTGTGCGAATAGGCTGTGGTGGCTTTGCAAAACAATTTGAATGCGAAGCTTTGAGCATTTGATGAACGTTGAATGGATGGATGGACGGATGGTTGGATGAAAGAAAGAAAATGCTTCGCATGCTTATTTTATGGCTGCTCCCGAGGATTCCAGTAGTTATTCGGTAGTTAGACCAAATGATCTATGTGGTTCAGTGTTGCAGTTGCACCAGGCAAAAAATGGAAGAATGACTGCTGTGCAGTGACATTTCAACATTCATCAGATTGTCTTATCGCATAGAATTTATGTAAAATATGATGACAACAAAAACCATAGGTTTTATGTTGTTCTTTAGAAGATGAAAAAAACTGATATTCCGTAAAATTCGGACAATGGTTCATTTACACAATAAATCTTCTAAAGAGAAAATTGTCAGTACAGTTTCGGATCCGCCAATTTTAATGGCGCTGAAGCTCCTATCCGCATTTCGGTTTTTGCTTAATTAGATCCTTGTTTTAGCATGACTGAAACAACCTTATTTTAGATATTTTGAAGGTATTACCCAAATTTTTCGATCAAAACGATGGTAGATAATACATTTGAATATATTTAAGGTTATTGGAAATTTGGTTTAGTTTAAAGGGTTATTGGAGAAAATACTATTTTAAAGAAAGGTATAATGTCTATATACCAATTAATTATAAAAAACCGATCTCTGATTATTTACAAAATATATAATACTAAATACTTATTAATAAGAAAAGTTCCATATCTTCGGGAGACCTAGTGAAAGTCTTAAGGGGCCATAAAAAACGGGGATCAATATTGATATTTTTGGTAGTGAGATTAAAGAGCCTATGAGAACACAAAATGTGCTACTAAATTAAAACCCAAAATACAAAATTACAGGTTGAAAAACGTATCCAAAATGCTCAAAATCCGAAATTTGGGGGTTGCCTTTATATGGGGGCTACATCACAACGTGGGCCGATATATGCCATTTACAATACCAAACAGACAGACAGTTGGACATGCGTAAATCGGCATAACATTTTATTCTGATGTACATTCTCCTGAGGGGCCCTGAGATTGCGGAATTTTTTTATAGAATACTCCAAACAGTTCTTGCAAAACATTCTAGAAATATTTTATTCATAGAAAACATCAGTTCTTTTGTATAGATTTAAAGCTCCATCTGTTCACTTTGAAACACAATGTAGCTAGGGGGTGGGTATATTAAGAACCCAAAAGGGCAAATTCGCCTCTACAAAATAACTTATTTGACCTACAAATAAATTATGTGGACTTCAGTGCGTATGATTTACAACCACACGTATACGCCCCAATTTTTTCACATTTTTATACCATCCACCATAGTATGGAGGGTATATTAGTTTTGTTTTTCCGTTTGTAACGCATCGAAATAATCATTTCACTCTAGCCTCTAAACGAATTGATATAGATTGCCAAAATTTGGCATAGGGTCTTTTGTCTGCAGGCAGGTCAAGTTCGAAGATGGGCTTTATCGGTCCACGTTTCGCCCCCTTTTTGGGGTAGTCCCTATATAACCCCCTTTTAATATTAAAATAGTTATCTGATTTGTTCTGCGTTTTGGGTTGGATTCTAATACTTTTTTGCAATCATTCTACCTGCGGAGGATATCGAGATAAAAAAAATTAGAACGTGAGGTTCGAGAATGAACTATATAAAACCTGTGGTTATGGCCTTATATAACTGTAACCTCTAAATTGCAGTATTTTGGGGATGTTCCATCCTACCGTGCGTCGTCAATATCGGTCCACTTTTTGGTGTGTTTAGGAAAAATATCCATCATTATTTCTGAAATTAGTAATTTAATGTATATCGACAGGCATTCAGGAATATCATCGATATAATGATAATTCCTGAACGGAAGAATTGAGATACATAACTAAAATATTGGGTGCGAAATTGACATATATCGGTCACTAATTAGGCATAGCCCTCATATAATGATAGCCACAAATATTCGCTAATTCCTACACTATGTTTGTAGAATTATAGGTACGGGTTCATCTTTTGGTATTTTTCCATATACAGGGCGAGATGAAAAAACTGCAACCAACTTCAGACTGCTGTCATTTCTAAGCCACTCGTCCGAAAGCTGTTAAAATTTTTCCAGTGACAGGTCATTATATTGTTTACAAGCGTACATAAGCATTTTGGTAAGAATTTTCCAGAAAAAAGTTATTCGTGATGGAACAGAAAGAAAATAGACTGAAAAGAGCATGGTCGTAAGTGATGAACTGCTGAATTTTCTTCGATGAGAAAACAATCGTTGTGCAGCAGTTTTAAACAAACAAAATGATCTTGTTTACTTGCCAAAGAGGTCAGCTGAAAATGTGAACCTTCGGTTGGCCACCAAAACTCAAGCGCCGGCAATGGTGATGTTGTAAACCGCCATAACAGCCGATAGTAGCTCTTCGCTCGTATTGGAGGGTGTATTAAAGCCTGGAGGGTGTATTAAAGCTTTGGGCACGCAAACATTTTGGCCGCAGACATTGGACATTCCAACAGAACTCAGCACCATCGCACTCAGCACGCGCCACCCAAGAATGGTTACAAAATGAGGTTCGTCGCTTCATTTCCAGCGGACAATGGCCACCAACATCTCCTGATACTAATCCGTTGGACTATTGTTTCTGGAGTATTTTGGAAAGCATGGTTGGCACTAAAAAATACCAAAGTGTCGATCACCTCAAGCAAGCGCTTTGCCGGGAATGGGCCAAATCGGACAGCGTGTGATGGTTTCATTGGCCGTTTGAAGGCCATAATTCGCGCCAAAGGTGACCAATTCGAACAAATCTAAACTTATTCTAAAATTTGACGATGACGATTTGACGATGAAATTTCGGTTATAAGATAAGGTCCCCAATGACAAGAAATATTTATTGGTATCGGATTCCTATGAAATAATTACCATAAATATATTTCATTATGCCAAACACGTTAGTAACATTTCTCTGTGGGAGGCAGATATTAATTTCTAAATTTTCAACCCGATTTCCGGATAGTGAACCCGATCTTTGTACCGGTTTGGCGACTTGGTGAAAAGGCTTCTTTTTCGAAAATCTAATAAGAATTTCGTTCAACAAAAGTATATATGGGTTCAAAAGGGACACTCTCAGTCATAAGCATTCTTATACAAGTATTCGCAGCTTCATGCTACGGATCTGCTTAAACCACATACGAAACAAAAAGTTTGTCTATGTCTATAAAAAACCAAGCCGGCTTCGGCCAATCCTATTCATTCGAAGAACCATCTCATTACCATAAATGGATTCAAAAATATATACGCAAATGCGCACTTCTAATAAGTTTTTTAAAAACATAGTTCGTATAACTTTCGCTCACATGTGTGTTCCACTATGGCCAACAAATAAATTATTTTGGACGACAGTGCGTATAATTTACAACCCCACTTATACGCCACAATGGCAGAAACGATTAGATTTTAAAAGTTTTTTAATATTAGGTTAGGGAAAAAGAAATCCACAAAAAATCGGAGAAATGATCGAAGTTGACCGGCATGTTAGAAGTCGTAACATCATCTCAAGAGCTAAAAATCGACCATAACACTGTATTAAACCATTTACACAAAGCTCGATATTTAGGTGCCACACCAATTAACAGAAAAAATAGGAAGGATAGAATTTCCACCTGCGAAGCCATGGCCAAAAGGAATGAGATAGACCCATTACTTAAACAGATGGTGACTGGAGATGAAAAATCTATCACATACGATAACTCCGTGCGAAAACGATCGCGGTCAAAGAGCGATGAAGCACCTCAAACGGTGACGAAACCAGGGCTAACGGCCAGTAAGATTCTGCTATGCATTTGGTGGGACTGGAAAGGGATTATTTATTATGAGTTACTTTCATATGGCCAAACGCTAAAGGGAGGATTGTGAAAATCGACTACTATAGTTTTTGCAAATAGAGAGCAGGACTTCTGTGAGAGAGGCATTATGAAGTTACCTTTAAAATGGAAACAAATCATACAACAAAACTATACATATTTCCACCAAATCGGCATTATGAAGTTACCTTTAAAATGGAAAGAAATCATACAACAAAACTATACATATTTCCACCAAATCGGACACCCCAAAGCATGTTAAATAAAGTCTTATATTTCATATAAAAAACCAGTAAGGAAAGTAGTAAAGTCGGACTGGGCCGACTATATGATACCCTTCACCACTTTGGGGATAATCTACATATATGTATCTTTACAGATGTCGTCTTTTCGAAGGAACATTGAAATGTAATTGAAAGAACCTTAAAATGTGATCTTTATCTCTAAGTAAACCGACTAACATCAATCCTTACACATGCCATTCTGCAATCTATTCCATACTTTGTAAATAGATTTTAAGCAAACTTTACGCACGCTATTTAGTATGCTTCCCTATTTAAAATGTTATATCAGTCAGGCACCCATTGATTATTTGGTTTACAATCAACATGAATAGGTCGAAATTATATATGGAAGCTATGCTATATCTAAATCTGAACCGATTTCAACAAAACTTGCCCGAGATTAATTTATATTAATTTCAGGACGTTTTGCCAATCGGCCTAGCTATGAGTTTTTAGTACACCATTTACTTAAAATCGGACGAAAGTATCTATAAGAGCTATATGTAAATCTGAACCAATTTCAAGAAAACTTGACACACGAAAGGTTATAGTAACTTCAATACATTGTACAAAATTGTGTGCGGGTCGGACAATCTTTGGGTCTTTAGTGCACAATTACATTAAATCCGAAGAAAATATATATTGGAGCTATATCTAAATCTGAACCGATTTCGAATGATATATAGGAACATTGGTGCACCATTTACCTTAAATCGGACGAAACTATATATGGGAGCTATATCTAAATCTGAACCGATTTTCTTGCAACTTGGCACACATCATTCTGGACATTATATAGTACTCTAAGCCAAATTTCGTGAAAATCTAATGATATATAGGGACTTTGGTGAACCATTTACCTTAAATCGGACGAAACTATATATGGGAGCTATATATAAATCTGAACCGATTTTCTCGAAACATAGCATACATCATTCCAGACTTAATTCAGTACGCTATGCCAAATTTTATGCAAATCGAAAGGTATATAGGGACTTTGGTGCACCATTTACCTTAAATCAGACGAAACTATATATGGGAGCTATATCTAAATCTGAACCGATTTTCATGCAACTTGGCACACATCATTCTGGACCTTATATAGTACTGGACCTTATATAGGACAGGGCATGTCTCGATATACAGTGTAAATCTCATTAAGATCTGTTCAGCGGTTTTGGCGTGTATAGGCCCGTAGCTGCCCCTGATAAAGTTGTCAAGCATATTCCAATGATCAATTAATAAGCAACCTACATGCAGCTGCAATATATACTAATTTTAATTCTAAAATTAGAAAAAACTTTGGACTTTAATATGCTCGAATTAACACGAAATATTGTCTTTTTTTTTTTTTTTTTGAAACTAAAACATACCTTTAATAACTTTTATCAATTTTACACAATTGTTATGTCCATGAAAACAGATAATGACACGTAATAACCAAAATTATTATTTTGCAAAATATATATGGGAGCTATATCTAAATCTGAACCGATTTTTCCCAATTTCAATAGGGTTCGTCCTTGGGTCAAATAAGTGACTTGTGCCAAATTTCATCCAAATCGGATGATAAATGCGACCTGACTTTGTTTACAATTTAACATCTACAGACGGACGGACATGCGTAAATCGACTCAGAAAGTAATTCTATGCATTTTCTCAAAAGGAACCATGTGTCTACCTCGTTTCCTTTTGCCTGTTACAAACATATGCACAAAGACATAATACCCTGTACCACAGTGTGGTGAAGGTTATAATAATGGATTTCTTTTTCCCCAATCTAATATATCGACAAAAAATTAGGCACTGTCTTACTGTTTTCGTTAAACATTATATAATAACAGTTAATACCTGTCGAAATATGAACTGAAAATTGTAAAAAGTTACATTATTTGACGCATATATACACCCATGTCAACATCGAAGGACCTTCGGAAGTCCAACAAATAAGGGAAAACTGTCAATGAGTTAATGTATGATCTAAACTTTCACCTCTTTGGTCAGTACACAGCTAGAAGATATGTGTTTTCATTCCGAAAATAATCTCCAATGGATGCAGAGGAAATGAAGGTCAATTTATTATAATTTCCAATCTGCTTAATTGAAAGTGGCCATATTCAGTGAATTTTTATTTCCAATTATCCGAGTTATTCAACATTGCCTTTAATCGAAGTTGGAAATTTAAAAAAAAAATCGGTTCAATAAATCTAGTATTGAAATATCAGGAATAAATCTAACTTTTTGAAACATTTCGAAATGACATCTGCCTACATTTTATCCCATTCATCAATTTCGGTTCCATCACTGAAATTGAGATTGGATTGTAATTAACGGATTTGATTTCATCACTCTGTTTGCCTAACTCACTAAATTGTTTGCGCTAGTTAGCTTTCAGATTGATTCTGTTCACACTTATCACTTCTACCTCTATTGCTCTCCTTTTTTCTACCGGGAGTAAAGAAATGAATAATTTGGCCATGAAGTTGAATAACTTCTAACAATAATCCACCTCGAATCCTGGAAAGAACTTTTTATTTATTATTTGAGACCTCCGTCTATCGCTCTTTAAAATACCTAAAGGACTTTCAGTCATTCTCTGTTAATATAAAAATCGTTGCATGGTCGCCTATCGAACAATAAAATCCCTATTATTTAATCCATCTGTATTACTCATATTTTTGTTTCATTGTTTGTTGTTGTTTCTTTTTTTGTTTTCCAAAATATAACTCTTCGATTTGTCATAAATAAACATTTAAGTTATGATTCCTTATTTCACAGTTTTTTTTTTTTTTTTTTTTTTTTTGGGATAATAGCATCATCATTACACAGCTATTTGTCTGGTGTTGCTGTTGTTACTGCCGGCTATGTGTGTGTATGGGGAACATTTTAAGTGAAACCTTAAAACGTGAATGTGGCAACTAACCACTGACAAATCGCTGAAAAATAGTCACCGCAACATAACACACGACCAAACAACTGTTACGCCAAAGCAAAAAAACAACAACAAATACCCTCAACTCATCGGGTCAGACGGCAAGAGAGGTACAACAGCCACGACTTATAAGGGCATTCTTTTCATTTCAGTTTTATTTTGGTTTCGTTTTTTTTTGCAAAAAGGGACCGTCTGTCGGTCTGTCTGGCCTGTTTACTTTCGATTGCTGTGCAATCGGACTAACAACAAAAAATTGCTCAGATTGTTTGTCTTTCATTTCCTTAACACAAAAAAATCCATGTATGTCACTACTGCCACAATAAAATAACAAAAACAATACAACAAAAGCAACTGCAGCCACAGCATTAACAATTGCCAACTGCTACCATATGGTACTCGAAATAAAATGTATGAATGTTTTTTTTTTTTAATTTCTGTGTTACCTTTTATTCGTGCCTTAGGAATATTCTAAGTTAGTCAGAGCAGTTTGT